CAAAGAATATGTGGCAGTTTTAGTGAGGATTGGTTACATATAAAATGCAATAGTAGTATACACCATGTCTATACAAGGGTTTCCTAAAGGTTTAGTACAGTTTTAAGCTATTAACAATAATTTGAAAACATGCTAAAATATATAATTCTGAAAATTTATGTTATCTTAGAATATTTGCAATTTTAGGCTGATTTGAAAGAATGCTTTGGGAAAAATTATTATTGATCTTAGGAATGTCTGTTATATTTATAAGTATGCATTTGATACAGAATTTTGTTCTGATATTATATATAGTTGGACAAAACTAGATCTTCCTGTTAATTTTTAATTGAATTTTGAATTGAAATGGCATTTGGAAATTTTTCTTAAAAACCATACATTTTTACATTAAAATGTCATCTTTGATTATAGATTAGAAATACCTTATTTGAGTTTCTCTTGTTAATCCAATGGCAACACACACACACACACACACACACACATGCATACATCCTCTGGCTCACACATATCCGTAGAGGTTAGGTGGCTCAGCTTTGGAGCTGGCAAACTTGGATTTGAGACCTCACTCTTCTACTTAAAAAAAAAAAAAAAAAAAAAAAAAAAAAAAAAAAAAAAAAAAAAAAAAGCACCTAACTGTTCTATCTTTTCTTTTCTTTTTTAAAAAATTTTTAATGTTTTATTTCTGAGAGAGAGAGACAGCTGAGCAGGGTAGGGTCAAAGAGAGAGGGAGACAAACACAGAATCTGAAGCAGGATCCAGGCTTTGAGCTGGCTGTCAGCACAGAGCCCGACGCAGGGCTCAAACACATGAACCCTGAGATCATGACCTGAGCCGAAGTCCAATGCTTAACCGACTGAGCCACCCAGGCGCCCCTTAATTTACTTTTTTGAAATCCTTGCCTTCCCACTTGATCGTCAGTAAAAACTTCCTTTATTTTTGTAATTTTTAAAGTTCATTTATTTATTTTGAAAGTGAGAGAGAGAGCAAGCAGAGGAGGGGCAGAGAGAGAGAAGGATGGAGAGAGAATCCCAACCAGGTGCTGCACCATTAGCATGGAGCTCAAACTCACAAACCATGTGATCATGACCTGAGCTGAAACTAAGAGTCACGCACTTAACCAAATGAGCCACCCAGGCACCCCCAAAAAATTCCTTTAGTTTTGAAGTTCTGGATATCTTCCATGAGAAAACCATTTCTGTTTTCTAATTCTTTAATATTTCTAATTGATTCATTATCAGTTTATGAAGACTAATTTAATTAATATCTGAAATACACTTAGTACAATGTCTGGCACATGATAAGTGCTATGTAAACCTCTTGATTTTATTGTTATATCCTCTCTCTGATTTGTACAAGATCATTTTACATCAGTGATATGCATTTAGAAGCATTGTTGCAGATTTTCTTTTTCAGAGCATTTTGGTATGTTTCCTTAATCTCTCTTTCTTTCTCTCTCCAATTTTGGAGACCCTGCTATCTATGAGAAATAGATATAGATTTAAAATATCTGTTCAGGGAAGAATGTACTTTATGAAGTTAGAAATAAGAATAGGAGCTTATGTTTTCATCTGGAAGGTGTCTTAAGAGTCTACTCCAAACTCTTATTCATTCAGCAGTTCTTACTGTCTTACATGGGGACATGAGTCCTTGTCTCAGTATCTGGTGAGATCGGATGAGTTTAATAGTTAAACCAAGAGAGGAAATGTGGTCAATTAAATATCACCATCACTACCACTACCTCTTCCCAAAAGTGGTTCCAATTAGAAAATTGCTTGTATGAGATGATATTGGTAACTTTTATGGATAAATTGTTAGTTAAGAAAACCACTTGGCTTTGAGTCATAAAAGAATGTCTTCTTTGTTTTCTTGTTTTGTTTTGGCTTTTTTGGTTCTTTTGCTTTTTTTTTATTTAACAATATTTTCTCAGCTCTTGCTTTATACCAGAAATCTGCAGGAAAGACATTCCAGGCTGTAGGTAGAGCAAGAGCAGAGCATCTTGAAAGTAGGATGTAGGGATGGTCTTGAAGTGTTAGAGTGGAGGTCCTAGGAGATGAGCAGGCCTCAGCATACCCAGAGGCCTTGTTATAGCTCAGATTCCTGAGCCCTGCCCCCATCTAATAAGTCTGGGTGGAGCCTGAAAAGGGGCATGTCTTACAGGCTCCTGGGTGATATAGGTGCTGCTGACATGGGGCTCACACTGTGAGAGAGGGACTGTGGTAGAGAGGGACTGGAAGGAGAAAGGGATGGTGGGATTACTATGAGCTGGGGGCCAATAGTAGGAAATGAGGCTGGAGAATGGGACAGCGGCCCTAGGACCTCAGCCTTACTAGGAAGTTCAAGTGTAGTCTCTCAGATCAATGAGAGGTCATTGCAGGTTCTTCTGGTCCTCCCTCACCGAAATGGCTCTTGCTTCTGAGGGGATTACAGTATAGTCAGTCTTGGAGGATTTTCTGGTTCTGTGGGGCACTCACCCCTTAGTGCATGTGAAACGAATCCTGTGGAATTTGAAAATAACCTATAATTCCCTCTGTTCTGGGTTCCTGACCAACCTTCAACCAATAGGACAGATTGCTTACTTTGTGGAGCACAGACATTTTACCCATGCTCAGGTTTTGACTGTACGAGACATAGGCAAATCAAAGTGCTGCAATTCAGATCAGTCCAACATTTACTGAAAATGCTTTCTCTGTATCTGGCACAGCACACTTAATGCATCAAGGATATAATCAAAGCACATTATGATTTCTAACAGCAGGCAGCATTCAATCTTACGGGGACAAATACCAAAAAAATGAAACAATTATAGGATTATATAAGCAGAGGACAGCACAATGTGTAATAAAGTGTTAAATTGAATATTATCAGACATAAATGTTAATGATGCAGATAATAAGTGCTGTGGCCACTAAGAAGCAGGAGAATTGTTGAAATGACTAGGGAATGGAGGAGGCATTAGAACCGGTCCTTGGAAAATAGTGAAAATTTACCTAGTTAGAGAGAAAGGCAAAAGCATGGAAAAGCCTTTGTCTTCAGATTCAGTCAACATGCAAGGAATTATTGTGTTTTCCCAAAGTTTTTCTCTGTTCTTCTGCCTTTCAAGAGAAAGCCTGCCATGTGTTTCTGATTCTTGAGTACAATTGAATTACTAATCCATTGTCTGGTAAGAGCTATTTGGTCAGGGAGCCCCGTGGACTTCTCAGAAACTTTTATCCTTTGAAAGAAGCTGTCCTGATTTGCCATTGTTAATGAAACTTGTACTACACAATGCTCAAGTTTAAGACCCACTGAGAACATGACCATGAACCTCCTTTCATCTCCACATGGGGGAACCACATGGCATATAGGAGCTGCAGAGACCCAGCAGCAGTGCGGCTTCCCTAGTGTTAGTAATTGTCTTGAACTTTCTCCTGTCATATCCTAATAGCTTTGTATTAGGAGTGACGGTCTGTACTGCTTCCCCCCTTATGAATAAATACAAAATGTCTTGCCACCCAGAAGACAAACCCTTTGTAGTCACACATCTCTTTTGAACATGCATCCTTAGGACTCTGCATGCATACGTTTCAACATTCTGTGCCTGTGTGAGGCTTTGCTTGGAAATTGTGAAATATGCACTTATTGCAGTGGATATATTCTTACTCTGTCAACTGCTTCTATTGCATCATCTCCTGAGTAATACATTTGATGAGTCAAAGGGCTCACCTCCTTTGCTGAGGATCTCTAGGAGTTTTTTTCTGTTAGCTCAGATAATTTCAAAGGTGCGGGTTTATATATATAATCCCAAGGTTAAGGCAGAAGATAGAAATGAAAAGGAGAGGATGGTTAAGGAGAGGCCCCAGGCCGACCTAAAGATAAATTTTAATGATAATCTGTATGGTAAAGATCACTAACCTTTTTCAATTGCTCACTCATATCTAGAAAATATTTTGAGAATGGAATACTTATATAGTGCTTGCTTATGGAAGATACACAAAAATAGAAATAATAAAAAATTTAAATAAAGGTAATTTCTAATATTCTCTTCCTATCTCCTAAATATTTCTCTTTTGTATCATTTGTCATGTGAACACTGCTTTTGAATACACTTTTCTATGAGCCTATAGCAGTGGCATGATGCAGTACACCGGTTCTCAAATTTTAGGCTGCTTCACAATTTCCTGAAAGCTTGTGGAAACACAAATTTGTGCCTCTTTCCTACGTTTCTGGCTCAGTAGGTCTGGGGCCCAATAACATGTATTTCTAACAACTTCCCAAGTGATGGTCTGAGAAGTAACCTTTAAAAAACAATTAATATAGTTAAGAACTTGGGTCTCAGAGATCATTTACCTAAGTTGGATATCAGGGTCCTTTCATTTCCTGATATGTGACTGTGGGTAAATTATTTCATTTGCATGAGCTTAGGTTTTTTTTTTTCTTTTAATCTGTGAAATGGATGATCATAATTACTTACCTCTTCATGTCACTGGGGAGCACAATATGATACTGTAGACAAAGTAGCTTAGTACCCAGTACTTACCACCTACAAAACACCAATACACGTTGGCTGTGCTATGCTCCTCTTCATATCATCAAACATTTTTTAATGTCATAAAGTAAACTTTAGCGACTTTTATGCCTTAATTCATAAGAATCATGGGAATAATTTTTTCTGCTTTATGATTATACATTTAGAAAGACCATTCTCCAAATGAAGTATCTTTCTAGTTGGATGGTAGAGATGAAGCTCTTTTGCAAAGTCTGCTTAAGAGAGAACAGTGTGTTCAGCCCTCTCCCTTCTGTGTGTAACTGTTGATAGTTTGTGGCTAAGTGTGCACTGCTGTGGTCTTTTGTACATACTGACTCTTGTTGCATGATACAGAGTTGAAATTTTTGGCAGTTGTGTTTTTGAATGTTTGGGGGCATGAGAGTAGCAAATTCAAGTGAGTCCTTTGAATTTGATTAATTATTAACACTTCTCTCTCCTTTTTTTCTTCTCTTCCCTCCTTCTTATGAATTGCTAGGACCAAGTACCACCTGCCAGGAAGATTCATGTGCCAACCAGGGGGTCTGTATGCAGCAGTGGGAAGGCTTCACCTGTGACTGTTCCATGACCTCATATTCTGGAAACCAGTGCAATGACCGTGAGTACAACCTTTTTATACTTGGGAGTTTTTTCAGAGTTTAGAGGCTTAGAGAAATTTTAAAGGGAAATATGTAAAAAGATGGCTCTTCTGAAAGATTTGTAAGCAACTTCCTCCTACAGAGGCTTGGAAAGTAAAGGACGGGTGCTCTTAGTGGAAGAGCAAAGAGGCATTTCTTGCTCAACATTACTGGATGTTTTCCCATTTGCCTACTCCCTGTGTTTTTCCTTTAGATTGGTTTGTGTGTGGCTGAGCAGCAAAAAACAATTCAGACAATATTTTTGCTCTAAGGAGTTTAATTTTTCATTAATTAAGTCATCTGGATAACAATTTTGAGACTTTCCCATTTTCATTGTCTAGAATTTAGAGGATATTTAAGGAATGTAGCTATTTCTTCAAAATTCTGAGTATAGAGAACTTCTTAGATTTTACAAATGATGAAGATATTCAGAGTCTATTATTTTTTCTAACTAGAGATATTTAAAGCGTTCTCAGGTGTTTTGCAAATGTAAAAAATTTCCTCTAGCTAAACATATTAATATCTACTTGGTTTATATGTACATAGTCATTCTGTTTATGTATGATTTCTATTGTAGGAGTATATTTATACGTATGTATGTGTGTATGTGGTTCATATTGGAAGAGGGGTGGTTGTTATCTTGTGCACTAGCAATGCCTCAGGCACATGAGAATGTTTAATTCTAGAAGACAGATTTCATGAAGGTGATTCTAGAATTGATGGTGGAGATACCTCAATACTATGGGAATCTGTAATCTGTGTCTCCACTTCCATTTTGTGTTATTTTCCTGACATGGCTATTTTTAAAGATGAGCAAACATCTGAATTTTCTGAATACCTTTTGCAAAGAGATTTGCTTAAAGCCATGATGTAGTGGGTCCTGCTAATCTCCCAATTTTCTAAATGTAGTGTTCATGGTAGGAGTTTATTTTACAATCTCAACTTTTAGTCAGTGGCCTCTTGGTTTTATAAAAAAGATGCATGGTGTTATCCGAGCAAATGGTAAAGTCATATGGTTGCCTAAGTGGGAGCAGGCACTGATCACAATGCCATATCTATCATGTTTATTTGGTTTTCCTTGAATCCTTATTTCTCAACTTTTATTTTTTCATGTGTGTGGTTGCCTCTTGGTCTGTTCCCGTTTTTTTCATAGCTTTTTATCTTCATATGCTCCATCAGTCACTTAAGATATACCTGGAGAAACAAGTGGGGACTCTATCCATGTAGAGAGAAAAATATTTGATTCTCATTCCTCTAAATGTAAGCATACACATCTCTATCTGTAAAGCAAAAGACACAGGATCTGCAGAAAGTTTGACATCAGATTGTTCTTTTCCAAGTACTTGGTCTTATTGAAAGTCCTGTTTCCACATTTATGATTTGGAAATACTGTTTAACTCAGAAATAGGCAGTTATGGACCCCTCCAGAGTATCTGGGGAATTGTGCTGTATGCTCTTTATTTTCCCTCCAGTGTGCCTGTGTAGGATGCATTAGGAAAGCTTTTTATCCTAAATGGTGGTATAATGCTTTCTTATCCTCCCAAGTTTATTCCATATCATAAATACAAACCACTCCTGGTAGAAAATGGTCAGCACGAGACTACACACAGAAAAGACAGAAAGGTAAGTTACTCTAACTGCAGTGAATATGCACAGTCTTCAGAAGGTATGTATATATTTTTCTCTCATTGACATACGTCTTTCCGCTACCCAGTCAAGGCATTGTTTTCTGCTAAAAATTAACCAGGAATCTTTCTAGCTTTCTATGATTTTTTTCTGACTTTGTAAGGAGCACATCATGTCTCAGTCCAGAATGAAGACTGGTTGCATTATCTGACTGAAACAATTTGTCGATATATAATGAAGTATTAGAATGGATTGGGAAATGTCAGCTTTCTCTTGTGGCAGTACCGTCTCATCCTTCAAAAATGTTTCTGAGATATCCGGGCCTAGGGTAATGTGCCCTAGATTTCCTTCTGTAAACAATTCAGTTGAATTTTTTATTGTAGAAAACCTCTGAGCCCAAGTCATTAAAAGAAGCTGCTTGCCTAGTCTGCTCTTAGAGAACAGACCAGGGCTTCTGTGATTAGATGACTATATGGTAATGTGAGCAAGTACATTTTAAGTGCAGAATGTAAAGGATATATAGAATTCAGATATACTGGATATATCTATAAAGTTCAGAAATAAACTTTTTAATGAAATCAACCACATACATCATAGTGTTGGGTTGTACAATGGATGTCTCCATATCTAGTGACCTACATTTAAAGTATTGGGGGGAACTTCTTTTTTGGAACTAGCATCAGGGCCAATTTGTTCCATCTAAAAATCAGCCTATCCATCTTTACATCATAGATCCTTACTCTCTATATCAACCTTGACCTTTAGAGTTATACCATGCTGCTTTATCTCACTAACATCTTCAAAATTAAATTATTTGTTTGATATTCTCTGGGCCTGTGTTAGCAAATTCTTGCATCAGGAAGTAAACCTTCATTCAATGTCATCAGCAGATTTGAACAAAGCTCATATTTGTATTGGTGAAGGCCATGGGGGAAAATTGCAAAGAAGGGGGAAAAGATAAAACAAGTGAATGGAAGAGAGGAATGATGACGAAGAAGGAATGTAGAGAAAAGCAGGATTGAGTCTTGTGTGGAAGAACACAGAAGCCGTTAGTGGTTGCTTTGGTAATATGTATTTCAAGGTGGTCTGCATTTAACCTCACTGAAAGAATAGAGCATGATATTATAATTGGAATGTCATTAAAGAAATCTGGCCTTTACCCACTTTTTAGGAGTAGTGTATTTTATAGAATGCTGCATATATCTAAAAGACTTTGTATTTCCTACAATGCCATCAGAGGACACTGTGGTTGGTTGAGGATTGGTTCATTGAGGATTCTGTCTAAAGGCAAAGGATATTTCTGGGGGGTGGAGAGAAGGTTTGGAGCTCTCATTTTCCATGAGATTTTTCTCAGGATAGCAGATTGTTTTTAGTTAATGGAAATGAAAACATCTCAATTTCTTACCGCACATCCAAGACTAGAAACTTGTTTAATAGGAAAATGCTGGGTTTTGATATTTTTCAGAATAAAAGGTTCAGTTCAATTCATCATCTATAGAAAAGATTACTTATATTTGAGCATGATTTACAAGTTTCTAAAGAAATGTTTGCATTTTTAGGGTTTTCTACATTTTTTCTAGTATTGGTTCCTTCATTTATGACCTTTGATTTTTCTTGCCTCTTTGCCAAATTGAGTGTTTGCTTGACAACTTTGAGGTGCTGTCACATAGATATCACCTCTGTGAGTAGAGTTTGCATTTAGAAACTGTATCTCATTTAGTATGAGTAGACCAAGCATGGATGGGTTTAACTTTATTCCATCATTTTCTATGAAAGCATGGTGGGTTGATGGAGGCAGTGGGGTGAATTTCAGGTTTAGTCTTAGGAAGATGGTGTGCAAAGCTGGTAAGTGCTTATTATGGAGGTGTGGCGTGCATTCTCCATGGCTGAGTTATTCTCTTGTATTAGATAGAAAACAAAAATCATCTGACTGGATACCCAGGCATGATTGATTTGCTAATTATCTTATACAGTTTTAAGATAGGATCTCTACCATTTTATGTAATGGCAACATACACAGGGAGTTTCCTTTAGGTAACTTTTAGGGCCGTTTTGAAACCATAATGGCCAAAGTCATCCCAGAAGTAATTTTGAGTTCTTGTAGGATCCAGTAATATCTACAGAAGAACAAAAAATAATATTCTCCAAAGATAGTCTTGGTTCTGAAAAATTCAAAACAGAGAGGGCTCACTTCTCAGATGGTGCATACCACCTGAATGCCCACTTAATGACACAATGTTGGGGTTATACTTTAAGAACAACAAAAGAAATGGAACCTTACAAAGGTTCTTATAGAGATATTCTTTTTGGATATTGGGTTCTAACTGGTATTTAAAATCAGGACCAAAAGCCTGGGAGATTTCAGTGTGTTGTAGCCATCACACCATCAGGCAAATCCAGAACCCCTCTCCTGTAGGCAGTGCAATAGGCAATGCAACCTATTTTTCAGTTTCTCTCTACACAACACTGCAAAGTGTTGCACAAAGCCCTGCTCACTGGCATGTACCCACACATATACAAACGTGTTGGTATTTCTGGGGACTTTTTGAAAATGGCAGTTTTAAATACCTCACATCAATCTTTACCACCATACTTATCTTTAAGCATGTTCATCCCAACTGGTTTGAGTTGTATACAGTCTTGAGGGCTCGTTCTTGATTTGGTGTCCTGGAAAAGTGAATGTGGAACAGCCTGTGGTATGTGAGTGCTTAAAACACAGCAAGTTACTGGATTTAGAAATCGGGTATTTATAATAGCTTTGTGGGGTAAAGTAATGTGGGTCCTCAGCCCACCCCTAGCAGCCAGCTACCTGGGCTACATTGCTAGTCTTATATTGTGGGCTAGGTTCACACTGGCGTGTTATAATAGATGTTCTTTGCTTGCAACAAATCAATAGCAGGCAACTGTGGATCGTGCAGACAGTGGAGTGTGAAGCGCCTTTTCAGACAGTTTTCTGCTGGAGTGGCTGTTAAGCTGCACTGTTGGCTATTGATTGGCCTTTTGCTTTTTATTTATTGTGTGGGTTTATTTATTTTTTTAATGTAGGTTAGTGTATTGATTAAATCTGTTAAAAACACATTTCCCATTCAGGCTTTAGAAAAAAATGAGCGATATACGCATTACTTAGTGTACAAACAAGCCAACAGACATGGGTATGTTAATTCTGTCTCTTGGGTCCATATAGATACACTGGCATTAGTTATGGGTCTGTGGGTCTGTGTTGTTATTTGTACAGTGATAATTTTCAAAGATACCAGACTACAATGTGTCCATGTTTTCAGTTATGTGTTTAATGCCTACCTCTGTTTGCAGGCTCTGCCTGTCCAACAAATAGGCCGTATCTGAGAAGTTCATT